CGATTACACCTACTACCGGGTTAAGGCGCCCCTGACGGCTCTTATCGATGCACTCCTCGACTTCACCCCGCAATATCTCCCTCCCAACGAGAACCAAGCCACCGTCTCGCTGCAATATCTGGACGGAGCCACCAAGATTATCCACGCCCTTCCGGATTGGGAGCCGCAACAATATCGACACCACAAGGAAAGCGCATATGACGAAATTGCAAAGGCCTGGGCCCTGGTCATCAACGAGGCTGCTAAGCGCGGGGGCGGTCTGAGCCTGCACACTGGAGGATGGGACCAGACCCTGGCGAAACACCACGAGATCTCGGGCGGACGCATGGGCACGGCAATGAATGCTATGGCGGCGAGCGTCAGCTGGATGGCGAACGGGGGCTCCAATGGACAACAGCCCGGAAACCAATCCTCGGATCCGAACTCAATCCTCAACCAGCTCATGTCTGGCACATACGGCGCACCTGTGCGTGTCGGACCTTGGTAGAAAATCGAGACCGGGGCGACGAAAGAACAAAATCATCCGAACGTCAAATAATAAGCATCGCCGCGACATCGGCCACGGTCGGCGGCACCCACTGAACATATCACGACGACTATAACGACGGGTTACTTCCTTCATTACTTCATTCAGCATGGGACGGCAACGGGCATAGACTTTTGGGTTCCACGGACACCTTTTCTGTCAGGACCACGAGGGGTTGGGCGGCGTTTTGTTATTCTTCATTGATTTGATGATATCCCTTTCCTGACGCTAGTTGCGAGTCTTCTCGCGGTCGGGAGCTGGGGTGTTCCTATTCCCCAGTCTCTTCCTGCGGTTGGCGAGGAAATCGAGTCACGCGCTTCGCATGTAGGTAGTTAGTTTTGGTCTTCTTAGTTTTCAGGGACAGCATCTTGGGGACAGCAAGCAATCGATGATCCCGCCCGCTTGGGAGTGTTCAGTCTACCCATGACTTATAATTATCGCCCTTGGAGATGACGCTGCGTCGTTTGATGGAGGATGAGTGTGTGAGAGAGAGGCACCTTGTAATGAGAAGAAACGAGTTTACGCTCGAGTCGTGCAGGGCAGATAAGGGTTTCACAGCAGTTGGCTACTTCATGTTAGTGTAGCATGAAATTAAGGTATTAGCACGTTGTATCCATGCAAGCGTACGTGTCCCACGAGTCGCTTAGTTTGCGTGCATCCAAGACGGCATATCTGTTTCAACTGCCCACTGAGTCGGTGACATCCGCGATGGCCACATGCGTTCTCCTTTGTAAATCGAGGACGAAAAACGGCCTGCAGCATTGTTGCAGTTTGCATGTTTGTGTGTTTGGCGTTGACAAACACCTACATTCATGAGAGGCAAGACGGATCCAATGATGAGATACCTTCGTACGGGGGCAGACTTGTATTGGTGTTTATCCTGATGCAACCCCTCTCCTCTGCCCTGTGTTGTGCTTCATCGTCGTCGGCCTTTAACAAGCGCCGGGTCCGGGTCAGCCGCAGACGGTTCTTCATTATCATCGCCGTTCTTCCCGGGCTGCCTCTCTATGCTCTCTGCCGACCGTGGACGAAAATTCCAGGCTCTGCGAGACGTCTGGTTTACAACTTGAGATTACTCACTTTCTTTTCCCAATCCGTGCGCTCTGGTCATGTTACACCAAAACACTCCGACCTCTCTGCCCCCTCTCCCTCTGATGTTTCTCGTGGCCTGTCCTTGTTCAACTTCTCTTTTTCTTCCGTTTGCGTGTGTATCGTGTATCGTGTATTGTGTGGTTCGAGCAACAAACTAAACCCTTCTGGATGAGTTGGACTAGAGTCAAGAAAGGACTGAAAGCCTGAAACTCGTCAGAGAAGATGCACGTCTCTCGCTGGTGGTGATGAGATTGGATCCTCGTCCCCTTTTCACCGATTACGAGATGACCCTCCAACCTTGCGGGCATTTGGGATGCACCTGACATTGGCCGCGCCCGCTCTGCTCCCACATACACTGTTTGGCTGCTCCAGGGTTGCTCCAGGAAAATTAAAGCTTTTGAACCTCGTTTTGGCGGCATATAGCGGGGTAGTTTTGTGGAGGCTCTTACTCCAACCGTTCGCTGTTCGGACGACAGCGGCAGTGAACTCTGAGGTGACGGTTCAGGTGCCACGGGTGCCTAGGTCCCCTCCCCTTTCCCCCGCCCGCTTGCTTTTCAGGTACTTTGCCCGCTGAAAGTACCTGCTGAACCTCTCCCGGGGGCTAGGCCTCAGCCCTCCCGTCAGGAACAGGCAGACAGCTCCAGCCAATGTTAGTGGGAGCTTATGTCATATGTCCCGGTCACATGACTACCCGTCATTGCTGCCTCCCGCGCTCGACTCGACGCGTCAAGGCAGGCGTTAATTGTGAACGCGCGATACATCTATTGCAGCTCACTTCTTTTGAGTAGCGAGCCCATATTCGCTCTGCCCACGACGCCCGGCCTTCCGTCTCGAGGGAACACATTCGAGCTCTCAAGTTCAGTTCGAGCATTCTTATCCCTTGAATTTGTGCGAAAGAGACTTCGTGCTCGACAAGATGCCCGCGTATGTTTGCCACTTCCCAGACGCGTCTCGTCCGCTGACACACTCCACCATAGCCCGGGCGATCAGCACAGCATCGTGGTGAACCCTTTCGAGGAGCCACAGAAGCGAATGAGCGAGTACACGGCACAGGAAATCGCTACTTTGCAAAGTCGCCTCGAAAAGCAGCTCGGCCCCGAATACCTATCCTCACGCTCCGGTCCCTCAGGCCAAAAGGTCCACTACATCACCGCCGAGAAGTGCATCGCCCTCGCCAACGAGGTATTCGGCTTCAATGGCTGGTCATCATCCATCCAGAACATCCAGGTCGACTTTGTCGACGAGCACCCGCAGACGATGAGGATCAGCCTCGGACTTTCTGTGATCATCAGGGTGACGCTCCGCGACGGCACGTTTCACGAGGATATTGGGTATGGGCATATCGAGAACTGCAAGGGCAAGGCTGCGGCGTTTGAAAAGGCGAAAAAGGAGGGCACCACAGACGCTTTGAAGAGGGCGTTGAGGAACTTTGGCAATGTGTTGGGCAACTGCATATACGACAAGGATTACCTCGCCAGGGTGATCAAGATGAAGGTTGAGCCAAAAAAGTTCCACGAGGACGACTTGCACAGACAGCGAGACTTTGTCGTCAAAAGGGTGGAGGAAAAGGCACCAGCGGCACCAGCGGCACCGCCAGCACCACCCGTGAAACTAGAGACCACGGAATCGCTCGAAGACCTGATGGATGAAGGTGGGAACTCTTGAATGTGGCTGATGGAGCGCAGAGCTCTTTTGCTGACATGACTAGACTTCGACGATGTGGACTTTGCTATTTCCGAAGGCGATCATCCCGACGAAGTTACTCTCCCGCCAACAACAAACGGTAACTCTAACAGTAGGGCTGCAAGCGTTGCCCCAGCACCCGCACCTCAGCACATGCAAGCACCGTCTCGTCAAATGGGCAGGAGCACATCAGCAGGAAACTTGGGAAACAATGGAAATCAGCGAACACCTCAGACACCAAACCAAGCACAATCACGACCGGGCCCTCCAACAGGCTACGGCAACCGACCTCAACCACCAAACCAACCCCGCGCACCCACGAACCCGTCAGGCCCCTCCGCTCCGTCCGCTCCCCCAGCAAACGCCAATATGACCACGCCAGGCCAGGCCGGCAATGCCACTGCCGAACCCGTCGGCTTCTTCTCTGCACGTGCTGTACAGCAAATCCCAGAATCTGCTCTGCAGGGGAACAATGCTGACGCCCCGATGTTGCTGCCAGCCGGCCAACAAGCCTTCAATCCAAAGGCCGAGAGCCCATCCATACGAAAGACCCCCGGCATAGACCACTCGAGCTCGAAGCCGCTCTCTAGGTCTGGTCAACACGTTCCGCCCACCCCATCGCAACAACCATCTACATCCGGCTTCACACCGGTGAGACCGGGCAATGCAGGCCCGGGAGGAGGGGCCGGCATGCCGCACCCCCAGTTCAGCCAGACTCGCCGTATCGGTGCTCCTGGAGGCGCTGGTAGTCCCTTGGCCAACCGGAACTCGTATCGACCTCCCACGATGAAGCGTCCTTTGCAGCAGGACGGCGCCGGACGACCGGCCCTGGCTGATGTATCAAACAACGGGACGTCGGGCAACCCTCCTAGCGCATCGGGAGCAGACCCGAAACGTCAGAAGATGGCTTGAGAACACACGATATTGCCGTGATGGAGCGTGGTTTTGCGTTTGCTTTGGCCTGGAGCTTTGGAGTTTGGTTCGCTAGAGAGTACGGATGGGCATAATTATGTACGGAGTTTTTGGGGCTGGGCTGATTGATGTCTGGCCATTGCGCCTTAGACAATCTTATGGAACCTTATGAACTACCTTCCTCCATTATCCCGAGTTTGGGGTGCCCTTTGACAAGACACTTTTGAAGCCTGCAGAACACAAGTGCAATCCTAAGATCAGCTTTACAAGGTGCATCTGGTAAGCAAACTGAATACACAGTTGTCATTTACTAACGAACTTAGATGAGCGACTTGCAATAGAGCATGTATAAGTTATTCAATCTGTCATCTGACTTTCGAGGCTGTGCCAGGCCGTTACTCTATTATTTTCTTATTTCTCTAAATTTGGCAAAGGTAAGATTCACACAAGACGTGATGTCAGAAAAGTCGACACCAATCGCCATGGACTATCCTCGACCGCTGGATTAGTCAAGTATCATAAAGGTTCTTGACGAACAGCATACATAGAGTAAAATAATTGGATTATATTAATAACTATAGAGATATCGATAGAACGATGGTGTTTTTTTTGGCTTATCCTCGAGATTGAGGAAACTTTCGGAGAGACTGCAAATTGCATTCAGTCTGCAGAATTTTAGACAAAGGAGAGATCTCTAATCCAACCAGTTGCAACAACGTGGGCAAATTTTGACTAAATCATATGCCCAGCCACTGCAACTTATTCCTGGAGCTTAGCTCTGCTCAACTTAAGATCGGATCTCGCTGAGGATCTTGCCATCGGTAGCTCCAATCTGAACGCTCAAGTCACCGAGGGTAAGCGTGTAGAGCGGCTGTTCAAGGGTGGGGCCGATGGGCTTGGAGAGCGCAATGTTGTTGACGGGCTCCTGGAACCCGGCCTTGCGGGCGATGGAGAAGACGTCGTTGGAGTTGACCTTGACAGGCCAGTTGATGGTGTCAACGCCGAGGAGAGCATTTCCGGTGTGGACGGGGCCAAAGCTGAGGACTCCGTCCGTGCTGACGGTCGCCGTCTTGTTGTTGCCGAGGCGGGCGGTGACGGTGACGAGGGAGAGTTCATAGGGCTGCTCGACGCCGGCGCCGGTCGGGGAGCGGCCTGTGGCGGTCTGGAGCTTGGCGTCGGGGAATTGCTTCTGGATCGTCTGAAGGCCGATGTTGACGGCAGCGTCCCAAGAGGGGATGACAAAGTTGGAGGAGTCCTTGTTTCCGGACTTGGAGATCTCGGCCTCGGTGTTGTCTTGGGTGGCCTTGGAGGCGTCGTTGACAGAGAAGAGGGCCAGGGGCTTGAGGGCCTCGGTGGAGGCGGCCGGCTTGACGATGACGTTGCGGACCACGCGGTAGGAGAAGGGAGGGTTTTGCTGGGAGACGGAGACGATAATCTGGGTGTTGCCGGTCTGCAGGGTGTTAAAGGTCCACTCGATCTGGTTCTCGACGATGCTGGCGTTGGTCAGCTTGACGAAGGCCGGGTGGAAGAAGACGTCGACGCTGCCTCCCTGGCCCTTGAACTGGTCATTCTGGCGGACGGTGAATCCCTGTCCGAGCTTGGTAATGATGGGCTCCGTAGGGGGGATGAGCTTGACGTTGGGGATCTCGAAGTCGGCCTGTGCGTTGGAAGAGGTCTGGAGCTTGGCGTTGCTGCCGCCGTCCTTTAGGAGAGGCTCGATCTTGACGGTGAGCTGCTTGTTGTCTGCGCCCTTGATGACGACGGAGCCGGAGGGGAAGACGCGGCTGGGGAGGTCGATGGGGAAGGTGTTGGATACGGTGTAAGGGCGGGTTCCTTCGCTGATGGGGCCGACCCATCCTACGACCTGGAAGAGCAAGCCGCCGAGTTGCTGGAGGCGGACGATTTGGATATCAGTGGTGATGTTGAGGGCATTGCCTTGGGCCTTGAGATAAAGGATCTTGTTGTCGTTGTCATACAAGGCGGAGACAGCGGATACGGGGACAGGAGAGAAGTGGCTGAGGGGCCTAGGGGGCTGTTGGGAAGAAGACATGTTGATGAAGCTGAGGGTTCTTGGACTGAACGAAGAGCAGTGTTCAAGTGTTGAGAATGGTGATTAGAGTAGATGATCGGGAGTGAAGTGAGTGATGATGAGCAAGTAACATCATTGGATTTGCAGGTTCTCGTCTCTCCTCTTATACTTGAAAACAAGCAGTGTGTTCACACTCAAAAGCACAAGATTCGCCGAGTCTTCCGTTCGCTTCAACCTTCACCGACTCTTGGAATGAATCCGTCGTCTCGATTCCTCAATGCGGCCAAAAATCAGCACATCACCAAGCCAAAATGCAGCAAAGGCGTTCAGCTCCTCGTTCCGAGCATGTTGAGCCATTCGTGTTGACGCAGGCCCGTAGCTGCGTGCCATTTAGAGTTTCACGATGTCTCTCCTGCTGGTGCTTCTGGACCTTCTAGGCTCTGTCAGCTGCATTGCCCATCATGCCATTTCATGACGCCTTTTTTTTCGTGATGTTGCCTCAGCTCCAAACGGGAACGGTGTCAGTTGATCGTGAGAACCCTTAGAATTTCTGAGAATCCCTCGCCGGATTGAGACTAGAAGCGGGCGGGGTAACCCATCCCGCGTGGTTAACCGTCGTGCCGTCTACCAGGTGCGTGCCGTCCAGTGTCTCAGTCGTTTCTCAGCCGCACAATGTTTGGTCTAGGTAATTCGGTTTGCAACTAGAGGGCGGCAAGGCAGGTTCCCCGCGCGTGGCCCGGTCCGCGGTCCTGCATGTTGATGTTTACGGTAACCCGGAACACGATGAAAACATTCCTGGCGGGGGATTTTGTGGCGTTTCCAAGGGTCCAGCTGAAATGCCTTTTTTGTGTGTCTTTTTCTTTCTCGGACCCTGCGAACATTCATTCGTTCAACACTATATACGAGAATGCGGGATGAGTGATTGCGTCTTATGAGGCCATTCTGAGTACAGATGGGCGCTTATGGCGAGGTGAGACTTGTAAATGAGGAGATTCCCTTTTCAATGGCAAAATATTGCAAGCCACTCAACGGATGAATGCATGGCTACTGCATCGAGACGGGTAGAGCCGGTTGGTGGTGACATGATGCAGCCAGGGAAACTTGCGCATCTAGACCAGCTTTTCTTTGCCGGCATGATTCGGAGGTATGTGATCGGTGGCGTCTGCAAAATGTGTGGTTTTGGGCATGGTCGAGGATCCATCCCCGTTCATGGATTGAGAGATTCCTGCCACACGAGTGGCGGTGAAGGTTGAATGTGAATATTGACAGAATCTTGGTACATGTAGGTAATTTGGACTTTCGATGCTCGTGCTGCATGAAAAATGAGGGCATCGTGCCGAGTCTCGAGAAGGGCAATGGACAGGGCGCATCGTGACATACTGTCTTGGACGCGTAATTCCCGTTGCCATTGATTTGCCACATGTGTGTAAATCAGAGTGGCTGCTTTCTGAAACCTACAACATGCCATTGGACAATGTTGTTGGCCTTTGCAGGCATTTCAAGCTTGTAGTAGTTACCATCATAAAGGTTCCCTCTGTGCAGGTAATGTTTAAGTCCTACGATGACAAAATTGTGTTGCTTGCTACCAAGAAGGAATTGCATTCATTTTGTGACAAGCTTGCGGAAAGCCGACAGTAAGACGAGATGTAATATGTACCTCAAGCATTTGCTTTAATAACCCGCCCGCATGGTATGTCATCTTGAATCTTGCACTCCGGCCGTCAATTAGGTACATGTGGTTGTGATTGAGTTAGAAAACTGAAAAAGACCAACATCGAAACCCAGGGGCAATACAAAGGGTGTAGTGAAGTGGAAGTGATCTTCGATTTCACAAAATGATGGCAGACGCACGCATTCTGTCGTGAAAAAGAGGTCTGCCAGGTGAGTACTATTGCAATGTACTTATTCTAGTTTTTATATGTTTACTTAGATGTCTAGGTAAGCCTGTCTGGAGTAGGCAGTTTGTGTTAGGACGCTGCTGGTCAAAGACATTATTCATTTCACACGTATTCGTGCATGACTATAAGCGTGGGTTTAAATGAGTTATAATAGAGGCCTTGAGTTGTATTAATTTCTTTACTTAGCATGGCACATTGCCATATCTCGATATGTGTCAGTAATTGGAAGAGTAGTGTAGCTACCAAAGCCCTAAATTTTGTCCGGCTTACCGTTCTCTGGTCCCCGTTAGCTAAGTAACGAAATTAGATAATAGAGACATGAAGCGTTTGTTTGAGTATACAAGTTTTAAATGCTATATAATTTATCTGTACCTCAGGATCCGCGCAGGTCGAACACAATGTCCATCGGCGGTTTAACTTTTCAAAGCGCTATCACGAAATGAGACTCTTTAAAGATGTCATTTGAAAGATATCTAAGGGGGAAAAGGCTGCTTAGAACTCTTTTTTTTCCCACTTCCTACTTTGAAAGATCTGTTTGTCCCATTATTAGTACCCACTATCTTCGAAACTGCCCATAGTCGCATTCGAATACGAGACCGTCGTTTCATGACGCTTGTGAGAATGGCTGATTCTTTTTACGCATCCACTGTGTAGCAAATATTCCATGTTATAGGTAGCACAAACGGTAGAATATCCATGGCCAACTATTGGCCGACTCTGGGAGCCCCATGGCCATGTTGTCTACAATTTGACAGCGTTAGCATGTCCAAAGTCAATTTATATCATCCCCTTGGGAACCAACACACCACCCTCGCACCGAAGCTCCTTTGATTCATCGCTTGCCCACACCTCGTAATTGAACCATAATACGGGTCCTTGACACAAGCAAATTCGGCCACCCCATCACACGAAAATCTGCCTGGCCCATTGTCGTTCCCAGAATACTTGCAATTCTTATGACCATGAGCTGGCTTCAAAACTTTGATGCTGATTGGACAAGGCCTCTCTATCCAAGAACGGCTTTGCATCGCTTCTCCAGGACGGGTGGCATCGCATACTTCAAACGCCGAGTCTTCTCCATCTCCCTCCAACATCACCCACTGCCCACCTCGGCCACCTCTGTCTGCCGGACGAAAGGTGATCTCGTACATGGTAGCGACTCCCTCGGGAGGCTCTGGTGGTGGAGGCGGCGGAGGTGGAGGAGGTGGTGCTTTCGAAGTTGAAGAGCTTAATTGTGGTTTGCTTGAAGCCTTTGATAAAGCTGGTGCAATCGTACTCTTCGGCGAGGATGTCGATTTGAGTCGAAAAGATTGACTTGTGCTTGTTGGGATCGGCCTCGCATTTCCTGTGGAGATTGTACTTGCAGCGCCTCGTGGTCGAGATGTGGTGCTCGTCTGACCCCGAGCAACGGTACTTGAGTTGTGTGGAGAACCTGTCGGGATGGACTGCATTGAGTTCTGATGTGAGACTTTAGTTGTGCTGAGTGAGGATGATGGCTGGTGACCCCAGTGGCTTACTTCCATCTCATGCAAGGAGTGTCTAACTCATGAACATTGTTATGATGAATGATATTTTTGCGAGCCCTCAGGCGCTGTGTACAATCATGAGAGAGTTATTCCGAAAAGGGTGATCGTAGGACAGCGTCACTACATCAGACAGGTCAGGGCCACAATGCAGACCACGATAAAGAATACGGAACAGGTGTGACTACTTTTTCTTCCCTGAATCTTGTGGCTCTGTTCAACAACTTCTTAGCATTGCCTCTGTTGGTGTATGGTAAATGCAAAAACTGTACAAAACTTTGTGCAACGCAAAAAGGGCTTTCCGAAAGTGATGGCACGAGCTTGTCAAAATATAGAACAACCAAAATCTTGACAGTGTGATATTTGAGAGCAATGAAAAAGTTGGGGTGGGACGAATTCAGGATGATTGAACCTTCAACTATGGGCCGTTGAGAGAAGTCAAAACATGCTTAGCAACGATCAGGCCTACCAAGAGTGAAGTCACCTACAGCACATCAAGTTCTTTAGTGAACTGGTAACGGATTTTAGTGTCAGGTAGCAGGTATGGTCGGAGAAGAAGATTCAAGAAACATTCATATTACCATTTTATTCTACAGGAGGCAAACTCGAAATCCTCAAGACACAGTTGAAACGGCAATAATGGCAAAATGTCAGACACTGCGGTCTTAAACTTAGATTTCTGGACTTGCTCTTACCCCCACTTCATTGAGATCATGGCTGATGCCATGGTATATGCTTTCAAATAACGTACGGAATTCCATGAATGTATTCTGTAATGTCCCCTGTTGGTCAAGCCATGCAAGGTTCGCCACGGCAGGACTCAAGGAGCCAGGCTCTCAATAAATCTGTTGGATTTTGAGAAATCATTCGGCCAAAATTCTCACAAGGCGTGTGACAGTTCGTCATGGGAAATTAAACTCAAAAATAGATATGGTAGCTAAGTTTAAGCATCCAGTCGTGGAGACAATTTTCTTAGCAAGTCTGCTGGGTAAGATAAGTGTAGTGACTCTGGAAGCTCAGCGTGCCTCTCGCCCGGGTGTCGCCGTTGGCAACAGTGCCACACTTGCTCACAATGATGCCCATATCGACAGCGATATCACTGCAGTACACGCTCGTCTCGATAAACCGCTGTTGGCGTTAGCCTTTGTCTTTGATGTTATGGAACCCAGCGACGAGTGACAACTTACGTTGTTGCAGAGGTAAATGGAGCAGCTGTTGGAGCAGGCCACGCGAGCACAAGTGCTAGCAGGTACACTGCAGTAGTTGGTACCAAGGGTAATCAGGCGGTTGATGGCGTTGGCGCACTGGGAGTAGTACGCCTCGACGTACGTTCCTTGATTGCAGTTCCAGTTGTTCTTTGCCTTGAGTTAACTTTCTGGTCTTCTCTATGCCAACGCAGGTGCAGTAGACTCGAAAAGCACATCGAATGACTTACGGTGGTCTGTCTAGCCTCCAAGCCTCCCTCGGGCTCCTGGAATTCTTCTGCATTGAAGGAAGGGTTGATGGCGAGGATCTGTTCGTAGATTGAGGAAGCATCGCCGTGGAGAGTGACATTTGGGCCGCCGACGACGACTGGGCCAGTAAAAGTCATCTCGGAGAT